GTAAGAAATAACCCAAAGTCCGAAATTATACCCGCCACAATAGAAATTAATCGAAAAGTTCACTACTGTCACACTCGAATAACTGTCGATATGCTGAATGCAGCATCACTCAGTTATCACTTCTTTATACCGCTGTTTTTGCTGGCAGCCTTTACTACACCATCGTTCCTCAATATCAAGGTTAGAAAATAACCAAACAATTATGTTTAAAGTATCCAGACCGCAGATGTTACGGATTTCGTGAAATAATTTGAGCGCTGAGTCAGACTGATTCATTATGAATCACTTAAAATAATTTGCAAATCTTTCGCACCTTTTCCATCCAATACAGCTCATTAGCAGTACACGTTCAGCTGGTGAGCCTTGAGCTGGCATTTCGTTAAGCATACTTCACCTTGGCAAAGTGAGTAGTGTTATCAGCCTCACATGATACTTGTGATTCATAACCAGGTACTAGGTGAGTGAGTTTCAACTGACTAACTAACTAAATTAATTTAAATTAAAACTTATTACTTGTAGGAAATATTCTCTTACGGAATTTTAGACCTGAAAATGATCATATCAGGCGAGTCATGTCCATTAATTAACAAAATATATTATTTGAATTTAAAGTCAATCTGAACAAAGAATATTCTTTTCAATAATTTCTCCTCTTCAGGTTCTCTCAATATAAAATAGAATATTTGTTGTCATTACAATAATGGCCAGTTATTCGCCGGATACATTTTCAACGCAGAATAATAGATTAGTTTTGGGGTGTCAAAATAAATAGTCGTATTTGTGTGACAAACGTGCTAGGCTGAAATCGATTAGTCATAATAGATTCGTAGAATGTGGGTTAGGAAACATTGACAAGTCAGTTCAAGGTAATAAAAGGCGTTAGGTGAGTGGTTAGTACAAAGTATTATGTATTAATGAGGAGATAGTGAGACTGCAATGGGAGGTTCATAATGAAATAACCAATGTGTGAGATGAAACAGGTGGAGGCATATATTGAGGAAAGAGATAATATCACTACTACTTTCTAAAACTCTTTCGAAATAATTCACATTAAAATATATGGAAATTTCCTCTTAGATAGTTTACTCTTAGGATCACAATAAAGATTTGGCTTTAAGTACATGCAGGGTGTTTGCGTTTCAATATAACAAATTTAGAGAAAGCTTTCTTTAGTCACGCTGGAAACCGAGAATGTGTCTATATATGTATGGTAACCTCCTCTGAAAACTTAACATAGTCACAGATCTTGGGATAACGTATTCAGCTCTAACCTTTTCCGATCATGCAAATAAGGTAGTACCTGATTGTAAACGACTTACTGGCTTTCTTCTGCGTAACTTTTACACTCAAGAAGCAAGATTAGCTATATATAAGGCATGTATTCACCCAAAACTTGAATATTGTGCTCTCCTATTTAGTAACCTAAAGTCTGCAGACCGAAAAAAGTCAAAAGTGTTCAGAGATTCCTCACGAAACGCATAATAGTGTCTGAACAACAAGTGCAATATGTTGACGGGTGCAAACGACTGAAATTAGAACCCCTATGGTTAAGGAGAGTGACCTAATAAGGAGCATTTATCATAAGGTCTATTTATGTGCAGTAGCCTGTATGGTTGGAACCGGGTGGAGGAAATGCAACGCTACAGTTATTGCGAAAAATCCCAGAGCTTAACATCGAAAAGTGGATTGAGCGTGGAGCATGCTGATTATTAGATACAGTGGTGGTCACAAGCGAGAATTGCTCCGATCTGTAGGATAGCAACATGCATTTTTTTGACAGCTCGAGAATTAAACATTAGTCTAGATCCTTAAAAAAGACAACAAGGGTTGTACAGATCTATTTTTTTTAAATTCTTTACTCCTACCAATAATGATATTCTTGTCAAGAAACTGCTCCATGGGACCTACAGAAATTCGTGAGACATCTTACAGGCCAGCTTGTCCTACGGGTTCTAATCTTCCAGATATTAGAATTCACTTTCCACTGGAATATCACTTACTTGGCTCACGATAATCTTTTTAATTACGCAATATTATGCTCCATTTGATCTTAACTACCTATGCCTTTATTAAAGCTAAAACTTACTCTGTTCATTTTTGTTGTTCGCTTAAATTCTGATTGCTTTGGTGAAAAAACTCAACAACACCAGTGTTTGAACAAAGCTATATTTTCATCGAAAAGGTCATAGTTTCCATGGTAAGACCACTAAATTTAGTGACGTATTACTCATAATTGTATTTTATATCATTTTTCAGTATCCCAGAACGTTTTCCTATTCATCAGCTAGCTTTCAATCACGTGGCGGCATAGCACTTACCTAAATATACGCTCTTCACTGGTCAGCCGTAACTATCAGCAGGAAACGGTACGAAGTTTGAGTTGGCGCTCGACCTTGATAGTAACCTGAGACTTCAGATTTCCGATTTATTGGATTGAAGGCTTGGATTCTATGTTAATTCTTTTCTAGTTAATTTCTTTGCTTGTCCAAACCCTTCTTGAATGAATCAGTTGAGTTCGCAGACGTCAGTTTGTAGTACCCCTGTACCAACTATAAACATACGTTTTTAATCTAATTTGCATACTCATATTATATGTTTACACATACCGATTTTATATGTACTTCGTAAACATTTGCCAATTTACTGTTGAACGTTACCTTGATACTTTTTCGAAATTTGACTACGGCTATAATACACGATTATACTCTTCACAAGTGCCTTCTGATTTTACGTTGTGGGCGTCGAGTAGCCACAACGTCTGCGCACATTGATAAACGTGAAGAAGTACTAAGAAATACGTGTACGCTCATTTAGTCAAATAGAACACGCAATAAATTGGTGAGCCCCGACGATAACTTGCTGATCCCGACGACAAATTGCTGACTCCGACGACGACTTTTGACCTCGACGCGTTGTTACACTTACTGGATTATTAAAACTCTGACTTTCGCGGATTTATATACTTATTAAACAATTCGAACTCATTTTTGTGTTTGCTCATAGCACAACCTGCAGTAATTTGTGGTAAGCACCTGCATTGCATTTTTTCTGTTTTGCCATATTCTTATTGTGCACAAATTTTGCCATTTTGTTACTCTTAAACCATTTTTTTTACGAATTGTACCATGTCTTCCAATACCTCTAATAATTTAGAGCTGGGATCTGTTAGTACTACCTCTCTTTCTGTACCAGTTTTTAAGCCCAGAGACCCTCATCTTTGGTTTGCTCGACTGGAACATTATTTGGCTAGCAATAAGCTAACGTCACAGACAGCTAAATTTGGCATTTTGAGTACAGTACTACCAGACGAAGTCGCCGAGCAGGTACGGCAATACATCGTTCAACCCAGCACGGAAGCACCTTACGACAAGTTGAAGGAAGAGGTACTGCGATGCACTTCGCTTTCAGATAGGCAAGCACTCGATCGCCTGTTAAGCAATGTTGAGTTAGGTGATAAAACCCCATCTCAACTCATGAGGCATATGCAAAGCCTAGTTGCCGGAAGAGAAATCGATAAACGTCTCTTTTACCAAATATGGCTGCGACGACTTCCCGCAAACATCCAGCAGGTTCTTGCTTTCGGAGATGACGACATTGACATAGAAAGGCTCACTGAAATCGCGGATCGCATGTACGAGAGGTCAACACCTCAATCTGTCGCTTCCACCAGCAGAATACCAGACACTCATGATAGAATACAGACTCTAGAACACAAAGTCGACACCTTACTGAGTCAGTTAGCAAAACTGACTACACACACACAACCAAGCCGTTCTAGAAGCTCGTCCCGTCGACGTCTTTCTCGATCCCCTAGCACGTCACGACATCGCGATAATATTTGCTGGTATCACCGTAGTTATGGAAGCAAAGCACGACGGTGCCGTTCACCTTGCAATTTTCAGACTAAACCAAAAGATATATCGTCATGTGTAAAAAATACTGTTGGCAACCTACGATCTAACAGTCGTTTGTTTTATGTAACAGATAAAAATACCGGTACTACATTCTTAGTTGACACAGGAGCAGAGGTGAGTGTTCTCCCTCCGTCTACACAGGAACATCAACACCCTGACCCAGCAGTTACGCTCCAAGCTGTTAATCAGTCCAGTATTGTTACATATGGAAGTAAACGAATGACTTTAGATTTTGGTTTAAAGAATACCTACACTTGGTCTTTCATCATTGCAGACGTCCCATCCCCAATCCTCGGTATTGATTTTCTGCAGCAACACAAACTGTTAGTTGATCCGATAAGCCCCAAGCTAATAGATTCGCTCAATAAAACGTACATTGCTGGTACGATTAGCCGTGCATCATCACTGAACTTGATGGTCACACGCACACCAGCATCTCCATATACCAATTTGGTAAATCAGTTTCCTGACCTTTTAAAACCTTCTTTTCGAGGAACAGAACCGAAGCATCATGTGGTTCATCATATTAAAACCACTGGACCGCCAGTTTTTGCACGTCCACGACGCCTTGACCCATATCGACTTAAAATTGCCAAAACAGAGTTCGATAAAATGCTAGAGCTTGGTATTATTCGACCGTCCAACAGCTCTTGGTCTTCACCGCTTCACATGGTACCCAAAAAGTCTTCTGGTGAAATACGGCCGTGTGGTGATTATCGAGCTTTAAACAAGCAAACGGTACCTGATAGATACCCAATACCACACATCCACGATTTTGCTAGCAACTTACCAAATGTTAAAGTTTTCTCTAAAATCGATCTGGTCCGAGCGTATCATCATATCCCCATCCACCCGGATGACGTTCCGAAAACTGCCATTACCACACCATTCGGTTTATACGAATTCGTACGCATGCCCTTCGGACTGATGAACGCAGCTCAGACATTCCAACGCCTAATTGACCAAGTACTCCGTGGTCTCCCCTTCGTCTACGCATACATCGATGACTTACTAATCGCAAGTGCAGACGAAGCCGAGCATTTGAAACATGTGAAGACAGTGTTTGAAAGACTGAACCAATACGGAATGACTATCAACTTAGACAAATGCGAATTTGGTAAGACCTCCCTGAAATTTCTCGGTCATTTAATCGATAGCCAAGGAATCAGACCAGTCCCTGATGACGTACAAGCTATCAAAGATTATCCACTACCAGATTCTTTTAAAAAATTACGACGATTTTTGGGTCTCGTTAATTTTTACCGGCGTTTTATTCCCAACTGTGCTAAAGCTTTACAACCATTAACCGATTGCTTACGTGGACACAGTCGTTCATTCCATTTGCCCGCAGAAGCTGTTAAAGCATTCGAAAATGTCAAACAATTGTTAAATGACAAGACACTTCTAGTCAGACGCCAAAATGATGCCCCCCTGTCTCTCATGACAGACGCTTCAGACGTTGCCATCGGGGCGGTTTTACAACAACAGGTACACGGCGAATGGCAACCCCTAGCATTCTTTTCGAAACGACTGAATCCTACTCAATGCCGCTATAGCACTTTTGGTAGAGAGTTATTGGCTGTTTATTTAGCAATCAAACACTTCCGACATATGCTGGAAGGTACAGCTTTTACTGTCTTTACAGACCATAAAGCTCTAACGAAAGCCTTATCAGCAAAACAGGATAACTACTCTCCGCGTGAACTACGACATCTCGAGTTTATATCTCAGTTCACCTCCGATCTGCGACACGTAAAGGGTAAAAACAATGAAGTGGCAGACGCTTTATCACGTGTGCACATTGACAACATTGTATGCCCAGACATCGACTACGAACGTCTCTCAAACCTACAACGAGATGATGCCGAGCTAAAAAAGATCATGTCTTCCAAAACAACTTCTTTAAAACTAGACGCAATTCCTTTTGGCACGACAAAAATAATCTGCGACACCTCTACAGGTAAATATCGACCCTTCGTTCCAGCAGCTATGAGACATACAGTATTCGAGAAGTTACATAACTTGTCTCATCCAGGTGTCAGTGCTACTATCAAACTAATAAAAGAAAGATTTATATGGCCGAACATTAATAGCGATGTTAAGAAGTGGACACGAAATTGCTTGTCTTGTCAAAGAGTCAAAATCAACCGTCACACTAATGCACCACTTGGTCGCTTTCCTAACCCTGACTCTAGATTTGAACATATACATGTAGACATAGTTGGTCCACTACCTCCTTCCAATGGTTTTAACTACATTCTAACTTGCATCGATAGATTCACTCGTTGGCCTGTAGCAGTTCCAATAGCCGACGTCTCAGCTGAAACGGTAGCTAAAGCTTTGGTCGAAAACTGGATAGCTAATTTTGGTGTCCCATCCATTATCACTACGGACAGAGGTGCTCAGTTTGAAAGCCGACTTTTTCAACAGCTAACTGAATTACTGGGCATCAAACGAATACGAACAACCGCCTACCATCCTAGTTCCAACGGCATGGTTGAACGCCTTCATCGACAACTCAAAGCTGCGCTAGCTGCTTCTTTGACTCAAAACGACTGGTCAACCAAACTCCCACTGGTACTGCTTGGTATACGATCTGCTCTAAAGAAAGATATTGGCTGCTGTGTTTCCGAACTAGTCTATGGAACAACATTACGACTACCAGGAGAATTTTTCACCCCAGGTAACCAAGTTCCACAAGATATGACTGGTTATGTGCAGCAGCTAAAACAACACATGAACGAGCTCAAGATATCACTTCCACGCCAGCAGGAACGAACGTCATACATCCCACCACAGCTGACAGATTGCACTCACGTCTTCGTCAGGAGAGAGGGTGTACAACGACCACTTCAACCCGCTTATGATGGCCCATTCAAAGTTCTAAATAGAAACGATAAAGTTATCACGATAGAACGACTGAATAAAGCAGAAGCCATCAGTGTCGACAGAGTCAAACCAGCGTTCATCGACGATTTCGAAGACAACGATAAAGATCAGCTGAACAACGTGCCAACAGCTACTTCCACGCAAGCTTCAACGTCGCCAGTGAAACCTATGAAAACTACACGCTCTGGTAGGAGAGTTCATTGGCCTAAACGTTATGTACAAATCATCAATATATAACTTATTACGAATTTTCATTTTTATTATCTTTATTCGTAATTGTCATTTAACAACTCATTTAACTGATTAATATTTTCATAAGTAAATCACGTCACTACTATTTTAACATCGATATTCCCTGTATTATTACATTTAATCATATAGCGCTTAATATTCACGTATCGTTTCCGTATACAGACTACAGATCCCCGGCTGATTGTATCATTCCTTATATATTCTACCACGATCATCAATCCTATTTTTTCTTTTATTATCGCATTTATTATCGGCCTTATTGACCGCATTAAATTGCTCATTTTTTTCAGCTTAGTAAATCGCTTTCTATGTACTATCGCTGCTACGTATTACGCTGACGCATTTCATTGTCGAACACTTAAATGTATTTTTTTTATATTTCAGTGTTCTGGTGGGGGAATTATGTAGTACCCCTGTACCAACTATAAACATACGTTTTTAATCTAATTTGCATACTCATATTATATGTTTACACATACCGATTTTATATGTACTTCGTAAACATTTGCCAATTTACTGTTGAACGTTACCTTGATACTTTTTCGAAATTTGACTACGGCTATAATACACGATTATACTCTTCACAAGTGCCTTCTGATTTTACGTTGTGGGCGTCGAGTAGCCACAACGTCTGCGCACATTGATAAACGTGAAGAAGTACTAAGAAATACGTGTACGCTCATTTAGTCAAATAGAACACGCAATAAGTTCTTCTGGGAATCGGTTCGAAGAGTCGAAGACTCTGTGTGAGAACCGATACTCAACACCAGTACGATTTTGAACTCTCCGGCTATGTCTTCTAAGGTGTTCAGACCTGGTGAAAAGGAGAAGAGAGAATATATCAGGTCCGAAGTCATTGTTTAAAATTTTAAACATTGTGATTAAATCTCCTCTCAGCCTACGGTATGACAGAGGGAAGAAATTTAAACTGTCTAGTCTTTCCTCGTATGATAAGTTAGTCATGCCGAGAGCAATACGTGTTGCCTTCCTTCGAACCCTTTCTATAATATGTGAGTCTCCTTTAACACAAGGACTGGTCGCCTGGATACAGTTTTCCATTCTTGACCTCACCAGAGATGTATATCAGGAGATGAACATATCTCTGGTGATTCGAGTGAAGCCTCTGCGAATTGCCTAAAACGATCTGAAACTGTGTGCAGCCACCGCGTGACGGCGTTCTGTAGTTTTCAAATCGTTACTAACTATGACACCTAAATCCAAATGAGTCTGAACTGATAGGAGTGTAATTACCTCTAGTTCGTAGGAGCTGATGCTTGCTTGTCCGATGCGTATGGTTGCACTTTTCGCAACATTCCTCGGGAGCATCCATTCTCTGAACCACTCTGACAATTTATTGAGGTCCTATTGCAGCGTGAGCGTATCACTGTTGCCCTTCATCACCCTCCAAATTTTAAGTCATCTGCGTATAGGACCACGGGGGAACCGGTGAGCAGAGATTACTGATTGATATTCAGAATAAATGGCAGAGTTCCGAGTACCGCGCCTTGTGGCACTCCGCTAAGCACTGCTGTCCAGGAGGAGAGTTTCGAGTTGATCATAACCCTCTGCCTCCTATCTATGAGGAATTCCCTAATCCAGTTTAGTAACCTGCTCTTGGTACCAAGACTTTCCAACTTCATGAGTAGTCTTTTGTGAGGAACTTTATCAAAGGCTTTGCTGAAGTCTATGAAGGCGACGTCAACGGGTCTTCTGTTGCCCCTTGATTTGACCTAGCTTGTCTTGCAGTGAGGAGAATTGACAGGCATGAGACGTTTCCTAGGAAGCCATGGTGCACCCTGGATAACAAACTGTTATTTTCCAGATATGAATGATACTTTTCTTGATGATTCTTTCCAGTGTCTTGATTAAAGTGCTGGTGATACCAATCGGTCTGTATTTTGAAGGGCTTTGTCATGTTCCTCTTTTGTGGCTGGTGGCGTCTTTCCAGTCACGCAGTAACACTCCATTTGGGAGAGAGTGCTTGAAGATCGTGGTCAATGGGCCGGCTACGTGAACTGATAGCTCCTTGAGAAGCCTTGGATGAAGATTATCAGGACGCATTGATTTCCCTGTATCTACTTTCATTAGGCAGTTGAGCACGATGTCTCCGTCGACGTCAATGGAATCTATCCCATGTTCCTCTTATGCAGGCAGAGCTGATCCTACGAGGACTGATGACTCCTGTGTATAGACTTGGGAGAAGTGGTCTTCTATTGCTTCTGATTTTTCTTGATCTTCTTCGATTGTGTCATTGTCAATAGCCAGGTTTGAGGGAGTGGCTTTATTGCATATCCTCGTTATGATGCTTGTTGCTATGGGTTTCAAGTGGACTTGGTTTTGGGGGAAGATTTAATTGATATAATATTGCGATTTCATACACATAACTTAGGCTCATAGGTGGAAGAAGGTTATTATCCTGGAATAAGGACAAGTTGTTCAGAAGGTAAGGAGGACATTATTTTTCAGTTTATTCGTATATATAGTATTGTGCAGCGAGTTTTACTGATTTCTTAGTGCAACTGTATGTAACTGCATTTACATAAAGTAAAAGATTACGAATGCTCCTGTTTTCAGAATAAAAAATTTAACAGCATACGGGAATTACTTAACATGATTCTTTTCATTAAGTTTAGTCATGAAGAATGGAAGTTCCCAAGCTTACAATAATGCTGAATTAAATCTCACTTATTCTGAAATAATCCTAGCATCCTATAGTGAGTAAATTCTGAATCTGTTCTGAAATGAATTGTTTAATGGCGCAGACTAGAGCTCAGTGCTGGCTTTCAGCATGACTAGCACTAATTCAGTACCGTGTTCTTTTTCTAGGCAATTTCACTAGTAGATCAGAACCTACTGGGTTAGCTTATCAGCTTTATTTCAGCCCTTTTGGATCATTTTAATCACTGACTAGCAGCACTTCAGAACGAAAGGCTTCATTCAGCACCTGGTGGCGATTTTTTCAGCTTAATTGAAGCCATCTTAGCACAAATTCAGCACGGACTAGCATTACTTCATCACCTGTGTCCTACGCCGGCGCAATTCATTTAGCCTACAGAAAGAAATCAATTTTTATAATTGAGACTTTTGTATCTATAAACTGTAGTTCAATGTCACTGCAAATCCGTCAAGTGAGATCCACTGGTAGCATCCTGTAAATAAGCAAAATAAAAGATTAGTTGATGAAAAATTGTGCTCAGCATATTCTAAGCACTTACACTTAGAAAAGTTTACTTACATGACTGCCACTGTTATATCTCCTAGTATTTTTTTTCATTTGCCTTAAAGTGAAAACAATGTTGTGAT